GCTGCTGCTGCCACTGCCGCTGCTGCATCTGCAGCGCCTGCCTCGCCAGCTCCTGCGGCGGCTGCCGCCGCCAGCGTTGCCGTCGCCGCTGAGGCCACTGCGGCGCCGATCTGCTGCAGCCGCTGCGAGGTCCAGCCCAGCTCAGCCTCCTCGGCAGCAGCAACATCTGCAGCGCACATGTGTCACAAAACTCTGCCGCTGAGCCCGAGCACACGTGTTCAAGAGTGACAAGAGTATTGCAGGATGAAGCGCAACACCAGGAGGATGTGTGGATGTGCAGGATCCTGCTCCTAGCTCCTAGCCAGTGTCAAGACGCCACAAGTAACAGTGCAGAGCAATTGCACGCCCAGCACAGGCAACACCGCTCATCCATGCAGTAAAAATCTCCAACAGCGTCAGCCTCCCAACAGTATGCATGTCCTGACAACCAGGCCTCACGGCAGCATGCACTTTGCAAGGACCGGAACGTCTGAAGACAACGATCTTCCACTGCTGCTCAACCAAAAATAACCATGCAGGTGCTGTACATGTTTCATATGCACTGTCTGCTGTGGATATCATCTGCAGCCTGCTGCACACCTGCAGTCGTCAAACAGAGCAGCTTCTCAGCAGTGACACTGCCAAGCATGTCAACGCCCTGCACCAGCGTGACCAACACCCTGGCACACCTTGGCACCCCCGTGCCATGACAGTTGCCACCTGGCAAAGCCCAACAGCCCTGTGTACGCACGCATCCAGCACCAGATGCTGTTTGCGAAACTGCATCGCAGACTGCTGTGTGCGTTGGCTGCATTACAAGCCCCACGTCCCACGCACCAGAGGCACAGTGCAGACTCCAAATCTCGCCCGAGTCACTGTCGCCCACACAAATCACTGCCATGCCATGTACACGTCTTGGTCATCGCCGCCGCCTCGACAGCCCTCCTCATTTTCTGAAGCCTCCTCTGTGCCAACAACGCCCCAAAAGACTACAGATGACTGCCGTCACACCTCCGTGCACACACGTGTACCCTGAACCGCACCCAGGACCATGTGTGTCGAAGGCAAGCCTGCTGCCTGCTGTGCAGCAGACCCTGCCCACCTGAGTCGCTGTCGCGCATGTCCATGGCCCGGTACACCTCCCAGTCAGCGCCATCGTCCCCGAAGCCCTCCTCGCTCTCCGAACCCTCGCCGGCAGCAGCGGAGCCCTTGCGCCTGCCGTCCCTGCCCTTGTCGCCCCTGCCGCCCTTCTTGTCCCTGCCGCGGCCGCGGCCGCGCTTGCCGCTGCCCTTCTCTTTGACGTCCTTGCGCTGCGTCGGGGCTGCCGCCTGTGCGATCAGGCGCATGCGCTCCCTGCGGGAGGGGCAAGGGGGTTGACCACAACGCGGTTCAGCCAAACCTGCGTATGCAAGCTACAACAGCCACCATGCACTACATCAGCTGTCCAGGGTGTTTTTGCTGCCCTCGACAGCCTCCCTGCACACGTGTACCATGGAACCTGGGCTACAAAGTTCGGTGAGTTTGCGCAGCTGCCACTGCCGCAGCGCCAGCCTCACAGACCTGTGTGGGCTTGCAGCTGCCGTGGCTGCAGCTGGCACTGCAGAACGGCATGACCTGGACCTGGGGGCACCTGGTGCACATGAACCGTGCATCAAGTGGAGGCAGTGTGCAAAGAAAAGGCCAGGCAACAGCAGCGCACCTCATGCATCTGCTTTGTGTGAGCATGATGCTTGAGTGTCACACTCGAGCACGACGACGACAGCTGCAAGGCACAACGCAAATAACGCGTTGCCAACACCTCCAAACAGCCACCACCCTCCCCCCCTAGGCCTGGCACTCCAAACCATACACTACAATACAACACACTACAGTACAATACAGCAACACAGGACTGAACGTGCCTCTGGCACTAGCCCAGCGAGCCGCCTTTCCGGTCATGAGGGTTACTGCAACAGGAACTCCAGCACAACAAGAGCTGCAGGCCTTGCAGCCACCCCCAGCCCCTTCACCATGCACAGCAGCAACTGCTGGATGCGCACCTACTTGGGTACTTGGGTGGGTGCACCGCGCAACTGCAGCTTCCGCAACAACCATCTTGAGCAACCGCTGACTGCTGAAGGGACGCCACAAGGCAGCTGCAGCCCGGGATGCAGTGCTGCAGCCTTCCTGCTGCCACCACAACCACACACACAAGTCTGACGAAACCCACACACATCAGGTGGGGAGCAGGCCCCAGCCGCACAACTTGGCGCCACTTTGGTGCATCTGCGGGGGTGCAAGGCTGATGCGCAGACGCTGGACGGGAGACACCGACGACAGCCTGCCCAGCAACGAGGACACAGCATGCACGGCATAGACGCACCGCATGCGATCATGCTGCTGCCCTCATGGGGTGCCGCAGCCGCCGCACTCACCAGCAACGGCCCCTGGTCCTGGCACTCACCAACAACGCCCCCTCGCCTGTGCCAACCACCTGGCCTGCCACGCGTGCAGCCGGGGTCAGCACCTGGCCCGCCTCCCCCGCCTCATCGCCTGCCCACGACGCGGTGCAGCATGCAGCACGCCCACACGGGACACGCACAGCACCAGGCACGACGCACCAGAGCACAGCACCAGGCACGACGCACCAGAGCACCAGAGCACAGCACCAGAGCACGACGCACCAGAGCACAGCACCAGAGCACAGCACCAGGCACGGCGCACCGTCCACCCTGCTCCTTGGCACCGCAAAAGATGCACACACACCAAGAAGAGCCTTACCTGCGTCGTTCGCCTTGCTCAGTGCAGCCCCCGACTGCCACGAGCAGCCCAGCCCCTCCTTGACGCGATCACCGCCCGCAACGCAACGCGCCCCACACACGCTGCGCTGCTAACTCCAACAAGAACCGCAGCGCGCTGAACAACATCCACTGTGCAGTTGGTCTGCAACGCGGCACACAAAATGGGGAGACATCCAACGGCGCACCTGTGCCGGTCGTCTCTGCGCGCCGCCCTGCCGGTGACCAGCAGGCCCTGCCCACCCTGGTCCGCCTCGTCGCCCTCGCCCTGGTGCCCCGCAGCGCCCAGCCGCCGCCGCTTGCGCGACTCCACCCGCGCCGCCGCGCTGTTGTGGCGCTGCTGCAGCAGCTGCAGGTACCAGAACGGGTCCGCCGCGAGCTGCGCGTCCTCCGCCTTCAGCTGCGCCTCACGCTCGCGCTGCTGCTGCAGCTTGCGCGCGGCGGCGCGCTCCCGCGCGAGGCGGCCGGCCTGCAGCAGCTGCTGGCGGCGCTTGATCTTCAGCTGGTCGGCTGCGGGGCAGCGCGGCAGGGGCGTGCGCGTGCGCGTGACCGACTGACAATGTGCGGGTCGGTCAGACGAAACAAGGAAGCCAGCATCATCACACACATTGTCATCCGCTTGATGCCACACTGTTGCGGTGCGTATACATGTTGAACAATGCATGCAGCTACAGCTGCGTCAATGTTGCAGCACATCGCCACTCAGCCGCATCACACCTGTGAGCATGTTGTCCGGGATGCCTAGGTAGTTGAGCTCCTCGGGGTTCTGGCCCTGCTGCTGCACGGCCGGCGGCACCCAGCGCTGCTGCTGCTGCTGCTGCTGCTGCTGCCAGTGTTGCTGCACCTGCTGCTGCTGGGCCTGCAGGTGTTGCAGCTGCTGATGGGCTGGCTGCTGCTGCTGCTGCTGCTGCTGCTGCTGTTGGGGTGGCTGTGCCTGCTTCTGCTGCTGCCGCTGCTGCTTACGCACCACTTTCACCTGCAACAGCGCGAGTCAGTAGGGACTGTGAAGCCGTTGTGGCAGCCACAGAGCTGCCACGCAAGCGTGCCACAGGGGCAGCCATCTTGGCCCTGCGCACTTGCAGCTGCAGGTTGCTGGGTACCAGCAGGCCATCATGCAATGCCAGGGCCTGATGCAGCACACGCAGCCTGCACACAGCCGGCCCTTCCCGACGCAATTGCACAACCATAACCAAGATATTGCGATTGTACAACATCCTGCTGCAGCCCCTCCTGCATCACTGCCTCGTTTTCTGATGAGCGCCGCACATCCCAGCATCCCTGCACCGCCTACCACACACCTGGACACTGGCTGCCCCTGTCGTTCTGCATGGCACCCCAACACCAACACCCCTGCTGTCATTGCCCGCACAACAACACCCCCTTCCCTCAGCATCAGCGCGCGCATCTCATCCAGCCCCTCAGCATACCCACTCTCCAATGCAACACTCCTGAGGAAATGCCGACACCTGCCGTCTGCTGCAGCACCCCAGATATCGCGCTCACCTGTTGCAGCACTTCCTGCATCAGCGCCTCCTGCTCATCCAGCCCCTCGTCAGTCACAGTGCTGCTGCTGTGGGCGTCGTCAGCGTCACCACCACCGCCATCTGCTGCAGCTGCTGCTGCCGCTGCCGCCTGCTGGCGCGCTGCTGCTGCAGTGCCTGACAAGAGCAGCGCGTTCTCCGACACAGTGGCAGACGAGTCCTCATCATCAGCTGCAGCGCCATCGTCTTGCCCAGCTGCTGCATCAGCGTTTGGGGCCACCGGCAGCGGCATTGCAGCAGCGGCCGCTGCATCAAAGGCAGCATCAGCCACGGCTGTGTCATTTGCTGCACTGCCGGCAGCAGGCGCGGCAGCAGACGCTGAGGCTGGATCGTCTGTGGCAGCAGTACCTGCACTGTCAACATCCATGGCTACTGGTGCTGATGCCCCCGCCGCCGTCGCCGCTGCTGCTGTGTCAGCGGCAGTTGCAGGGTTTGCCGCTGTCACTGCTGCTGCTGGGGCAGCGGTTGGTGTCGAACTGGTGGCTACTGGGGGCTGTGGTGGGGTTCCAGTTGCTGCATGTGCCGGATGGCCTCTGAGCCTGTTGCAGTTGGCAGTACAACATGTGGCAGGCGGTACAATGTCGTTGTCAACGGTTCACTGCAGATGGATTGCTCAGCCAGCGAGCAAAGCACTGGAGAGCAGGACAAGCTGCATGGAGTCCCAGAAAGCCAATGTACGGACATACGAGGTGCAAAACACCTTCGCAGCGAGGGAGGTTCGAACTCCCGCGGGATAAACCCACCAAGTTAGCAGCCTGGCACCTTAACCACTCGGCCATCGCTGCTGGCTTAACCCTGTGTTACCAAGGCAACCGATGTGTCCTCGCAGAACGAGGCTACCCCACCGCAGGATGCTGACACAGCTGACAGCAGCACACATGTACCACCAAGAGCAAGTTTTGATACTGCTCGCGCGCGCGCGCCTGTCCTCAACAGCGTGCCTGATGGCTGTGATGCACAGACATGGCACGGTTGCGCATGTTGGCGCCTGCCTGGTCACCCGCCTAGGTTGACACAGCGTGAACATGCACGGAAGAGCCCTGTGCATGGCCAAACTCACTGCTGTTCCAGAACAATTGGCACTGCCTTGTATAGTTGCTGATAGACAACAAGGCGTGGCACCAGCAGTGACTATTTTGTTGTTCAAGTGCAAGTGCCCTTGCTGCTACTTCTGCCAGTGCTGCTTATGTTGAGGTGCCACGGTCAGCTCCATCAACCTGGACACCCCCAATTCAGGGCTGACGCGTGTTTTGCGCCAACAACATACAAACTGTGATGGTAAAACATGGCAAACGCACCATGCTGCCGCTGCCAGGGATCGAACCTGGGACCTCATGATTGATTGATCAGCGTACCAGCTGTGTACAAGTCACACGCACTACCACTGTGCTACAACGGCCGGCAACCAGTTGCTGCATGCTTCAGATGTACCATGCAGCACTGTTGACTCACCCAGACCCGCGCTATGTGCTGCTGCCGCGGCACCGATGTGCACACCCATGTAACTACCCTCAATCAGCGCCTTGTGCTGAGTGCCACGTAATTTCACTTGTACATACCGTGCAACCCCTCACTTACTCACATAGTTGCCTGTGCACACCATTTAACCACCCCCAACCACCCCTGCAACCACTCGTCTTGGTGTGCTCCTGCAAACCTTGCCGCTCACCGAGTCTGACAGCCCACTCCGCACTGCGACCGAGGTGGGACGCCAATAGCCAGTTGCAGCAACCACACCTCGACACCTCTGCAGCTACCCGACAGAATTCGGCAGAACAATTCTGCCTGACATCCCCCATGCCTTGACATAGCAACACTTGAACAGGTGGACCATCTTATTTTACGGGCCCACCCCAGCCAACTGCGTCGCGCAGTGCATGTGTGCGACATCAGCACAGCACAGCACTGCCCTGCGCGGCGACTGCTTGCGGACCTGAGTGCCACAACCACCCATGTGCCGCAGTGCAGCTGCTCAAGCCACACAAGCCTGTTTTGCGCCTTTGGGTTTAACTCTGCCCTAGCTCATGTGTACATGTCCCCTTTTGCTTGCATCCCACGATCTGCTGGGCCAGACCCTCCCTGCTGCCTCAACACAGCGGAACGCATCCGTTACGCTTACCCCACGCCATGTCAGCGCCCACTTCACGCCTCCTCACCTGCTCACACTTACTGACTGCTGAGGCCTGCTGAGCCGGAAGCTGCCCCTGCTGCCCAACAAACCAGCAACCTATGCTTGGCAACCACATCAGCCTGCAGTCCATGTCAGTTCACCTGTCCACCTCTGCTGCCAGCTCAGCAACCTGCCGAGCCAGGTCCTCCTTGCTGCCCAGCCGCGATGAACCGCCGCCGGCAGCAGCCTGCAGATCGGCATCAGCGGCAGCAGCACCAATTGCTGTAAGCAATAAGGCAGAAGGCAGCACAACAGCAGATCAGGAGCAGTGCAAACCCCCCTGCTGCTGCCCACCACCCAGCCCCACGCACTCACCCCAGCCTGCAGCTCCCGCAGCGCTGCCAGCTGCTCCTCCTTCTCCTCCAGCACCTTGAACCGCCGCTGTTCTGCCAGGGCTTTGCCGCGCGCTTTGGCCTGCTGCGCCCTCACTGCCAGGTCCAGCGGCGAGGGCTTGGTGGGGCCCGTGGGCGCCACAAAAGGCAGCTGCACCCGCACCGCCAGCCCACCTGCAGCAGCAGCAGCAGCAGCAGCAGCAGCAGCAGCAGCAGCAGCAGCAGCAGCAGCACATGGTCACACGGCAGCAGGGAGCAGCAGAGGTGACACACACAGGCGACTGGAAAGTTGCGTACCGTACTGGAAAGTTGCGCACCTGCTATGTGTAGGCACAAATGGGGTCGCATCGCGGCAGCCGTGCCAGCACGCCAACATGATGTGCACGGAATCTGTGTTGCAAATCTGCTGCGGCGAACAACTGCTGCCTTGCGAGCCGCAAAGTTGCACTTGGCGTTGCACCATGCCCAGAAGCCCACCTGCGGTGTGTGGCTGGTCTGCGGCCGCCCTCAGCTGCTGCCTGTAGTCGCCGGCAGCGAAGCAGAAGCCCTCCTTGAGCGCCTCCAGCAGCTGCCAGTTGCCCAGCAGGCCGCCGGCGCCCGCCGGCGCCTGCAGGCCCAGCAGCTGCTGCAGGTGGCCGGTGCAGGCGGCGCCGCCCGCCCAGCAGCGCATGGCTGCAGACCACTGCGGCTGGCCCTGCAGGTGCGGCGGGCCGACAGAAAGTGTGTCAAGTTTTCGCCCCAGACGTGCAATTGGGCTGTGGTGGAGGTCAGGAGCGGGGGTTTGGGGGGGGCACTGTTTGCGCCTTCACCCACAATGTTGAGATGAGTCGCAAGCATAGGCTGCTGATCGCTGCAGTGATCTGGGTCGCTGGATGCTGTACAAATTGCATTGGCTGTTATGGCTCTCGCATGCTGCCATGCCGATGATGCCTATTGTCAACGCAACACGGCGTGCTGTCCAGAAAAGGCACCCACCTTGTATATCGGCACCACATATGTGCTGCTGTTCCCGCTGCACACCACTAGGCCGCTGCTGCTGCCACAGTACGCCTCTTGCCAACTCCCAGTCTGCTGCAGCAGCTGCTGCAGCTCCGACTGCTGCAGACCCAATGCTGCCCAGCCGTTCTGCTGCTGCTGCTGCTGCTGCTGCTGCTGCTGTGCCTGCTGCTGCAGCAGGTGATGTCTGCTGTAGTGGTGGTAGAATGCCGCGGGTGCTGCTGCGACGTAGGAAAGCGCTGGTACGCCGTATGCTTCAAACAGCAGCTGCGCAAGCTGGCTGCGCGCGCTGTTGGGCATGAGGGGCGCCTCCGTCATCAGTAGAGGGTGGTCAACACAACCAGCTGCTCGCAGGAAAAGATGGGAACACAGGCAGGGCTGACAACGGCCAAATGCTGGGCATGAGGGGCAATGCTGTTATCGACGGTGATGCCGGCACGGATGGCGTCAAAAATTGCCATACATCGGGATTGTTTATGCATTGTGTGCCCATGCACGCACGTTGCACGACGCGCCGCACCACAGCGCCCAGGCAACTGCAGAGGATTCTCCAGCGCTGCGTGCTGCTGGGTGCACACCGGCGCTGCTTGTGGGGTCAAGGGTGCCACACCAGGGGCCGCGGCTGCGAAGCACGTCTCCGCATGGATGCTTGTTCGAGCCGCTCCTTCTGCTACGGCTGATACCTCCAGCACCTCCAGCCGAAGCTACCGGAGCGCCAGCACACCCGCGTTGAGCTGGGCTGATGTTTTGTCTGGGGACAAGTCAGCGACGCTGCTCACCAGCAGCACACTGCCACGCCGGGCACGCACGTGCGCTGCGTTCCTTGCTGCGCTCACCTTCAGCGAGGCCCATCCTGTCCAAGGCCCAGTCCGTGATCGCCTCCTGCGTCTCCAGGTTGGTGGGCACGTCAGACTCGTGGGCATACCTGGGGCAGAGCATAAGGCAGCAGCAAAGTAGAGTTGGGCATGCCTAGGGCAGAGCACGAGGCAGCAGCAAACCGGAGTGGGGCTGTGATTGCAACTCAGCGCTGCATGCAGCGCTGTGCAAGCACTCAGTGTGCCTTGCAGCTGGCGAGCACAACAGGCTTGCACAAACGCCTGCACCAGCAGCACACCAACGTGACATCAGAAGTGCTACTTGAATGGGCACGGCTGTGTGGTTGGGCTGGTCAAGCTCCTGCAGGGCTTGCCAGCCTCATGCTGGTAACACAGCAGGTGACCGAGGGTGGGCGACACTGTGTCGGCTGCACAGGCATGCTAATATATTAGAATATATATAATGATTTGTCCACAAGCATGCTGTGCCCACCAAGCACTCGAAGCAGGCAGTGGGGTGGCAAAGAGCGCACACAGCCTACTCACATCACCTATAGACAGCCTCCAGTCACTAACTCAAGCGATTCAGAGCCCGGAGCCTTTTAGCAAGAGAAGGCAGTTGCAAACAAAGCCACTCCCAACCATCGACAGATGAACAAGCAGCTGTGTTGAAACTTTTGCTCCAGTATGTGTGGAGGTCCGGCTGTCGGTCAAGAACAGGCCTGCACGTTGCCAGCCGGCAGGTACACACGCGGATGCTTGACTGCTGCTGCTGCTGCTGCTGCTGCTGCTGCTGCTGTTGCGCCGGCACCCAACCTGTGCGTGTGCTTGCCAAAGTCCCAGCCGCTGAGCCCGGGCCCCCACTCGCCCACCACTGCGCGGTTGGCGGCGCCCTGCTTGGGGCGCGGCTTGCACATGGCTGCGCGGAACACGACAGCGGGGGCCTCCTCACCGGCCCACCTGCGCAGCGACAGCGGGAGAAAAGGCAAGCACCAGTCAAAGTATGCATTGCTTGTGACTGATAAGCAGGGATGCCTGAAGACGGAGCTTGTGTGGAGGTGCAGCCGGCGCCTGAGTGCTCCTTACCAGCCCACCTGCACAGTGATACCAGCAGCCAGTGCGTGCACGAGACAACCCGACAGCCCATCAGCAACCACAACTGGACACGTTGAAGTACAAGTACTGCTGACCCTGTGATAGTCGGCTGTTCATATAGTGAGTCACCAACACCTCAGCATGTGTTGCATCCCCACCAACACCTCAGCATGTGTTGCATCCCCAGCTGCTGCTCACTACCCATTTGACAACAACGTTGCTGCTGCTGCTGCTGCTGCTGCTGCTGCTGCTGCTGCTGCGTCCGCTGCCGCCGCCGTCGCCACCACAGCAGCCACTACCAACGCAAGTGCCCAAACGGAATGCTCGCAGCTGCGGCGCTGCTGTCGCCTGTGCATCTGCCACGTGTGCTCCTGCTCCTGCCGCTGCTTAACCTGCCTTTGCGCTGTCCTCCTGCTGCTGCTGCTGCTGCTGCTGCTGGTGGTGCCTGGCGCTCACCCTGTTCTCATGCTGTGCGAGCCGTTGTCAATCACAAGCGCCCTGCCAGCCAGGGCAGCAGCGTCATAGCTGCACCTTGGGGGACGTAACACAGCAGCTGCAACATGATTGGGAAAACCAGCACACACACGACAGCCGCCACAACAGCAGCCACATCACATGCATGGGAAAGGGTTGATGAGAGAGTAAAGCATTTGCATAAAAGTATCTGCTGCTGATGATGAGCAGCGTGTGTGGTGCTTCAGAGGTTACTGAGCCATGGCTTGGCAACATAATGATGCAGCACTGCTGTTGATTGGTGCATTGGCACGATGAAGCCTCACTGCAGTGGCCACAGAAAGGTACATATGGTCACAGCATGAAGGTCACGGCTAGTATGCTGCTATGCCTTCAAGTGCTCTGTGCACACTAACGCTCATTGCAACATTTCTTCGCGGCACTGTTGACATGCACTGCACCATGCCATGTGTCACATGTAGTTGCCAGTGATTGGCGTCGTATCTGTTTTAGTCTAGGTACCACAACACGCACCAAA